TTTTTTTTTTTCTATTGTGTTATACTCCAACGCCTTCCAGTTAGAATATCTTACTTGTGGAGTTTGTTTTGTAGTTTCTTTGGGTCTATTACTTGATGGAGTTTTTACCCTTGAACACTTGTGTTGGTGCAAGGGTTGTTCCAAACTTTGTTCTAGTTTTGGTGCAAGGGTTGTTTCAAACTTTGTTCTAATTTATTTGGCCGTTTGTATGTGACAGTTTTATTTTTTTGAAATTTGGAGAAAAAAAAAATATATGAAAAGAAACCTATATGCATTATGTGGGAAAATTATTAGTGCACGTGAGTAGAAAAAAATCGAAATTCGCAATTCAAGGAATTAAAAAAGATTTTAGAATGCAAAAAAATATATAAATTGATTTTATTGACAGATGAGATATGATTTTGAAAAGTGTATCATAATTTTTGAACAAATTTGGTAAAAGAATGTATGTATAGCTTTGTTTTCTCATCCACCATATACTTTGTGGCATAATATACATTTATTACATTGTATCACACCCAAAGAAAAACAAAAAAGTCTGTTAGTGAAGAACAATTTGAATATGTAAAAATAAATAATAAGAGTAAAATTTTAAAAACATTATATACCATTGGAAATACATTTTTGTGCTGAAATAATAAAGCGAACCTACATGAATATTGTAAATTTAGATTTACATATCACCAAAAGTATTTCTTTGGGATCATAGTTTTAATGTATTTGTTATTATATAAATTTTTCAAATGTCTAAAACAAATTAGTATGATGATTTATGTATATCACATATATTAAAATTTATACTTTTGTTATATTAAAAAATAATATGGTGGTGTATATTGGTGAAAGATTTTTTTAGAGGTTTTTTTTTTTCTTTTGCCCTTTTTTACAAGTTTTTTAATTTTTGTATTTTCATGTGTGCTACTATTCACAGTTTTTTGTCGTCTCAATTTTTTGTCTGAAAACTATATTTACTGTCAGAGTTTGTTATATACAATTATACATAAAATGGTAGTGCACTATGTTGAGATGAAACTTTTTTTAGGACATTTATACCGTTATTTACGAATTTTTTATTTTTTTCATTTTCACATGTAAAGTTTGGTCTTTTTCTTTTCTTTTTTTTTTCTTTTTTTTTTGG